GGAGACTCGCTTGAGCCCAGGAGTTGGAAGTTGCTGTGAGCGTGATGCCATGGCACTCTACCCAGGGGGATAGCTTGAGGCTCCGTCTCAAAACAGCAACAACAACAACAACAACAACAAAGTACTACCTTCTCTGAGCAGCAGTTTACTTGTTTGTAAAACAGGATAATGATGATATTTACCTTACAGGATTTTAATGGGAATGAAAGCTTACAGCACTTAGGACATAGCAGGCACTGTTCACGCTCAAATCTTGCTGAATTTTTGTGACATGGTATTTTTGGTTCCTGTGCATGTAATCTGTATACAAATGGGTATATACATCATGTCAGGATCTTCTCTGAGGCATTTTAACAGCTAACCTTTCAGGATAAAATGGAAGATGCAAATGTTCACCACACTTTCATTAGCATAAGTGCTAATATAACGCAGCTGTCCCATGGCCATAAAACACTGACGACTGTGTCTCTGCCTGGCGTGTGGAATATTATTTTTTCTCTTACAGAGCCGATTCAATACTCAGCCTTGTCATTATTTGAGTTGGAACTTTAGATTGCTGCATTTTAATGCACTCTACTATTAAGAATTGTTGGACGGCCATGTGAAAATATTTTTGTTCTCACGATGCAGTCCTGGCCCAGGTAGCCCAATGGGCAAAATATGATTTACACAAATATTATCGTTTCTGTAGTGTGTACAAAAAGGAAACCTTAGAACAGAGAGGAAGACGGCTTCTACCCTGGCGTGTGGTTATCTAGGTGAAGTTGGCTTTTAAAGAAGAGATTTTTTCATCCCCTCTCCTCTGCCTCGAATCCCCCAAAGTCCTGTGTTCCTGGGTGGGTAATTCTGTTCCAGGGAGAGCAGAATCCCGCTTGTGATGACCGAGTGCTCTTGTCAAGGGAAGGCGAGATGGGAAGGGGGGGCGAGAAGACCTCGGCTGGGTTCTGTCCGATGCCTGTTTCAAATGTCTCTTGTCTCTTTCTGCCTAGAACAAGGAAGTGACGTGTAAAAGAGAGAAGTGCCCCGTGCTGTCGAGAGACTGTGCCCTGGCGGTCAAGCAGCGGGGAGCCTGCTGTGAACGGTGCAAAGGTGACTGATGCCTTGGTCAGCTCCTCTTGGGCTGTTGCTTTAGGCATTTTGATTTCTCTTTGTCTCACTTTTCTTTTCAGGCAGCTCTGGGCGGGGTGCGCTGGGTGTTGGGAGGGGAGATCTGTGAGTGTGCGTGTGCGTTGGGGGCTGGACTTAAGGGATGGTGGAGGAATGGGAGCATGCCAAGCCTCTAAGGCGCGTTGTTAAGAAGTCATGGAGAAGGTGTGGCCGTGATGCCTGTGCACATTTGCACACATGCACACTAGCGTAATTTGTCAAGAAGGTTCAACTCTGACTTTTCCAGCCTCCACTCTTGCTCTGCTCAGCTCCTCCAGAGAAGTCTATATGCCTTAATTTTATCACTTCAGTCCTTGTTTTCTTTTTCTTTCAAATTAAATCTAAGTTCCTTGGCTTATCTTTGAAACATCTATAAAATCTCTTTTCACCTTATTCGCCAGGCCCCACCCTGCCACCTGCTGTGTCCCGGACACGCTGTCCTAGTCTCATCTCCTGCTCAGCCTCAACCCTGGCTTTCACCATCAGCCTGTCTCGGGACTGCCCGTGCTCAAGGTCCCCTGGCCCGCATTTACCACTTTCCCCTTTCCATGTCTGTGGCCCCCGTGGTTCACAGGACAGTGCGGTGGCATGCTTTCTCCCCTTCCCTATTTCATCTGTGTTAAGTAGGTCATCAGCTTCTCGAGGATAGGAGCCAGGTCATCCTAACATCGTGCAGTGTATGGGCTGATGGTGCTTCACGGCGAGGGGACATGCAGGAGGCAATCTGAGCACAGGGGTCTAGGATGTGGGCTCTGCAGCTGAGCTCCATCCAGCTGCCCTGGGCAGCAGAGCCTTCCCTCAGATCTCACCACCACACCACTCGGGGCCTCAGAATGTGGCCTTATTTGCAAACACGCTGTTTGCAGATGTAATTGGTTAAGATGAGGGCATACTGGACGAGGGTGGCTGCAAATCCAGTCTTTACAAGAAGAGGAGAAGATGGAGACAGAGGCACACAAAGGAGAAGGCCCTGTGACAAGAGGGGCAGATGGGGGAGTGAAGGTGCCATGGCCCAGGAACACCTGAGCTGCTGGGAGCCAGGGAAAGGCCAGGAAGAGTGTTTTCCTGGAATCTCCAGCGGGAGCCTGACCTTGCTGATATCTTGATCTTGGATTTCTAATCTCTAGAACTGCGACAAAATAAATTTCTATTGTCTTAAGGCACCACGTTTGTGGTGAGGTATTACAGCAGACATAAGAAACTAGTTGACCGCCAGCCCCGTTAGCAGGTGCAGCCGGGGAACCTCTCTCCACCCCAGCTCCCTCAGCTGCAGAATGAGCATAGTGATCGTGCTGGAGGGACTTAACCGGGAGGATGCGGGGACTGTGCTCAGCTCAGTGCTGCGTGCCCTTCATGTTCTTTTTTTTTTTTTTTTTTTTATTGCCCTTCATGTTCTTGACGGACTTTTGGGCTGTCTCCCTGGGAACCTTCTGGAGCTGTAAGCATGTAACTTTCTTTCCTTCTTGTCTTGCTGGTTCCTCTATCGTCTGTTCCCCCTTCCTCTGTTATATCCTGATCTTCCAAGGGAAAGAGATACCCAAGGTAAACACATTCTTCCTGAGCATTCTTTCTTAAGAAGATAAGCCTTTTCTAACCAAACTCGACCCAAGGCAGGGGTCCTCAAACTTTTTAAACAGGGGGCCAGTTCACTGTCCCTCAGACTGTTGGAGGGTTGGACTGTGGGCCCCGGGACTAGTCGGCTGCTAAGCAAGACAAGCAGCTGTGGCAAAAACACCTGGCGGGCCGGATAAATGTCCTAGGTGGGCTGCATGTGGCCCACGGGCCATAGTTTGAGGATGCCTGGACTCGAGAGTCTCGCGTCCTGAGTTCTCCCTCTGGTAGTAAAGTCAAGGCATTTGGAAGGTGGTTACAAATTCTGCCCTGCTCTGAAGCCGGACTTCAGGATCAAGACTCCCTAATGCAAGTGTCCTCAAACTACAGCCCACGGGCCACATGTGGCCTGCCAAGGACATTTATCCGGCCCCGCCGGGTGTTTTTGCCACCGCTGCCTGTCCTGCTTAGCAGCCGACTCATCCCAGGGCCCAAGGTCCAACCTTCCAATGGTCTGAGGGACAGTGAACTGGCCCCCTGTTTAAAAAGTTTGAGGACCCCTGCAGGGATCTGACTTCTCAGCAGGGCTCTGGGCTGGGTGTTACACGCACTCCTCCTTTGTCTCTCTTCCTATTCCATCATACAGTGCTGGTCTCGGGAGTTTTAAGGGAGGGATACGGTCATAATTTGATAAGTACTGGAGATTCCCGCTATTTCAGTTTGTTTATTTTTTTCTGATTAGAATAGCAACATGTGCATAGGAGAAGCTTCAAAAAATACTGTAAACTGTGGGAGGGTGAAAAGAAAGCACTCATAAGCTCACCACTATTGGTATATTTCTGTATTTTTTTTTCCTTGTAAAAGTGCTTCTAGGGTTGATATCATACTATTCACACATTGTATTATTTTTATTTTTTCCTACATGATAATGGGCATAGCATCTCAATTATTTGGACACACTATCCTCAATAGGTAGGTGAGAGTCTGTGGTGGGAGTGTACCGGCATTCACTGGTCGTTTCTGATGACTCTTTGGGGCACTTAGTTTGTACCTGGGGGTTTAGCCTTGGGTAAGGATAAAGACAGGAAGCTGAAACCAAACAGCCTTGTGCAAAAGAATTAGGACCAAGGAGAGTCTCAGGAAGAGTGTTAGCTGAGCGTAGCACAGATCTGGGGGTTAACCCAGGGACAGCCCCCGTTTGACTGCTCAAGAAATTTGGGGGAACTTTTCCTTCACCCTTTTGTATTCTCTGTTTAAACAGGAAAAACACATCCTTAGGCTGTAGCAGAAATTCTGATACTGCAATAGCCGCTGCTGATAAGCTTTTTAACAAGCAACGACATGCCGGTCCTGGGGGTTGTGACTTTTCCTACTCCATGAGAGTGATTTAGTGAGGAATCATATTAATGCCAAGTTTACTGATAATACTTTATTTTAGAATGGAGTGATGTCTAGGCAAGATTGGCTCTGGGTCAAAATATTTAATCAGATTAGGGAGTGATGGATATATAATTCTTATATAATATATAAAGTAGAATATGCAATGGATGTTTCTTAGCAAAGAATAGAACTTCTGATTTTTCAGATTGCTTAATACAGTTTTTACAGCTACTCACAGACAGTGTAGCAGGCCTGCTGGGGTGCGCACAGCAACACCTCCGCTGGCAGGATGGGTGCAGGTGCTGGGTCTATCAGGCGACCCCAGGAAGGCAGCCCTTCTGGAGGAAGCCTTCTGCCATCAGCAGGCATATGGGAAATGGAATCCAATGTTACTAACAGAAAAGCAATAGTGAAAGCTGGCTAGATGCTCTGAGCCACCTTTGAGTATTGTTTTTTCTTGTCCTTCCTTAGGAGTAATGAATACGAGTGATGTTGCCCTAAATATAATGGACCACGGAATCAGTTCTTAAAGTGCAGATCCATGGCCTCACTCAATAAATACCAGTAGTCACTGAGATTATCATCTTCTTCATCAAAACAGCAGCTGGGGGAACTCAGGAGTGCTTCCTTGGAGCCAGGCTCTGAATCCTTACAATGTAGAGTTCTATCACAGTCCCTTTTACAGAAGGAAAAATGGAGGCCCTGAGAGCTCTAGTGACTTGCCGAAGGTCACAGAGCTAGCCAGTGTCAGAGATGGAGACCGACCTTCGGTGATCTCACCGTTAGGCTCACAGGCCAGCTGTTTCAGGAGCTCCAGGCCTGAGTCCCTCACTCTGTGTTTTCCAGCCTCCCCTGAGACCCTCACGCAGACTGAGGCTTGAGGTCCACTCCTGCTAGATAAGGGATGGAGAGGAAGAGAGACGGCTGGCCTTCCTGAAAAGCAAAGGAGACCCATATCGTTTGGAGGTTGATAGGCAATATCTGTCCTGGTTAACATACTTTTGGGGTGAGAAATCATTTTTGCCTTTGTAGCTGGGAGGCTGTGGATTTTCTCTGACCATTTTGTTCTCTTCCTATTTTAAAATTTTAGAAATAAAGTAAAACAGTGGATAATGACCAAGAAAATCTAACTCTGATTTACATGCTGATAAATGCTCATCAAAAGTCTTTCCCAGTTTTTTAATTGTGTGAATAAATGGAAGGAGGAGGACTTGAACTGGCTGACCACCTCCTACCACGTGCTGGGACTTTAAAAAACAATTTTTCCCTTCTGACTTCTTTCACTTCTTAATTCCCTTCATGAACATAATTATATTTAATTTTAAATATAATTAGATAGCTACAACATTAATATTAAAAAATATTAAATACTAAAAAGTTAAAAATATTAAATACTAAAAAGTTAAAAATATTAAATACTAAAAAGTTAAACAAGGAAGGACAAGGAAGTTCCTTCAGAGCTTGCAAAACCCACTGTGCTCAGAAAGAACAACTGTTACCAATTTATTGTGTCTTTCCCAGACCTTTCTCAGCATATTACGTGTAATTTTGTGTATGTGCTTTTATTTTTTACATAAGTGGAATGAAACCGTCTTTTGCAATTGACTTAAAAAAAAAAAAAAACTCAACAATAGCCCAGGCGAGGGGGCTCATGCCTGTAATCCTAGCACTCTGGGAGGCTGAGGTGGGTGGATTGCCTGAGCTCGGAGTTTGAGACCAGCCTGAGCAAGAGAGAGATCCTGTTTCTCTTTAAAGATATCTGGGCATTGTGCTGGTCACCTGTAGTCCCAGCTACTCAGGAGGCTGAGGCAAGAGAATTGCTTGAGCCCCAGAGTTTGAGGTTATTGTGAGCTATGATGCCTGGCATTCTACCAAGGGTGACACAATGAAACTCTGTTTCAAAAAAAAAAAAAAAAAAAACAACAACAACAACAACAACAACAAAACTCAACAACAATATAATTTAAAAATTTTCCCAGGCCAGGTCATGCTTTTAAAAACTGTTGTATAGA